CAAGCCTTATTGTTCAATTTTGCTTAAATGTTTTGAATAGGTCTGATGCATTCATTGAAGTTCATTTATCTTTGCCTCCCAAAAACTGTTCTCATTCCAGCAGCTTCGACCTCCTCTCCTCGTTTCACTGACACCCTCAGCGGGAATCGAGATCCGGTTGTGCTAGTTCAGAGTATATCTTCCAAATGTTGCTACTAGGCCGCAGAGCAGATGAGAATTTCATGTCAATCCTGGTATCTTCTATATTGAAGGCTTGTCGATGAGGCAAACTTGGATGTTATCTTCAGATTTACTCGGTTGCGTACTCAGCTTTTTTTAGGTTTTCGCCTTAAACGAAATCGGATGAATATATCCCATATTTTCCCATTACAAGTGATTATATTGCTTATATTCATATAATGTAGCTTTCGAGACTATAACTTTGAATAAGACTAGAACTCGTATTTTGATTGGCTTATATTCTTTTTGAGCACATCACAAAACTATCAGTAATACCGAAAATATGAAACATTGCCCACTGCAGTGGCAGATACACTTTTAATATGAGATGTAGTCTCGAAACTCTACTCCAATACGAAAATGAATACACTTTTGCCTCATCTGCAATTTCACTAGCCTGCCTTAAGAGTCTTATCTACGCTGTGATCTAATTGACTATATAACAGAGTATTAAAGTGTTACCATGACGCCTAAGATATGGCTTCGAATCCCTTTGGAGATGCTGATAAAAGCCATGACGCTAATTTTGACGTTAATGTGGATAATGATAACGCCGTTATTGTTGTTAACAATGATGATGCTGAGGAGTATATTGATGATGATGATGTTGCTTTTATTGCAATTGTTGTTGATGGCGATAGTGATAATGAGGCTGTTGATGCAAATGCTGTTATTGTTGAGGTCGTTGACATTTCTGACGATAAATATACTAATAATGATGCTGATGAAGTGGAATGGGATAATTTTGCTGTTGATGTTATTGATGCGGTTCTAGTTAGTAAACTTTATTATTTTATTATTGAAAACGATGATGTTGATTATGATGATGATGATGTTATTGTTGTAGCAAGCGTTTTTAGTGAAAACTATGATGATGAATTAAATGTCAGTACTGTTGCTGTTGCAGATTGTGTTGTTGTCAGTATTTACATGAAGATGAGCATGACCTTGTTTCTGATGTTTTTGTTATTGCAGTTAATATTGCTATTTAAACCATTGCTAATGACAAATTTGAAGGTTATTATGAGGCATTCTCATTTGGCTTTGTAGAAAAGCTACCCAAAGCTTCCGATGGCTACTATGCTCTTGGCCTTGAGAATGTTTTTATAAAGATGAATTTTTAGTCTTTGAAGATTTGAGTCAAAAGTGAGGATATGTCGGCCTGAGACGCCGAAGACTTTATTACAACATCCAAAAGTTAGAAGTGAATGGCAGTCGTGCATTCGTTCGCAGAGGGCTCAAGTTGCCAATCTCTTCAAGCCACCTTTGCAGATTAACTGAAAGATGGTAAAGCATGCAGCTACCTTAATTGGTATCTTTTGGAGCAGAAATGCAGACATTTTGCTTGTATTTGTACATTTTAAGGTCTTTCGAGAAGCGGGATCGCCTGCGCATTCACGTTCTTCACGTCCACGAGAAGCACCGACCGCACAAGTGCCAGCTCTGCGAGAAGTGTTTCAGCCAGTCGTCGAGTCTAAACAAACATCTTCGAGTGAGTTTGATATGCGTTTTTCTGGCAAATATTATCTTGTAATGAGTTATCGTCTGAAAGCTGTTGATGTGTCGCGGAGAGGGGGCAGCCGGTCCTCCGAATGGCTGCTTCCGGTGTTGTCAGGACTCGGTCTCTGGGTCTACCAAAGCCACGCAGCCAGTCGGGACGTCCAAGAACCTGAGGCCCGAGAAGCGTGGGGCGATCGTTCGATAGGATAAGCCTGACATGCGGTACAGGTGGGCTTGGACACCGCTCGTCTGGACTAAGGGATTATACCTCTTGATTGTGTTGGGAAGCCGGACGGAGTCGAGAGGTTGGTTCGCGTGACAGTCAAAGACACCTCGGCAGGCAGGCCTGCGCAAGCGGTGCCCAGAGTCGTGTGGCAGAACTCCCACCGAGCTCGCTTCATGGGCCGACAATTAGTTGAGACTCAATTACGAGGAAACTAGAAGAAGAGCCAATTGGACAATGGCAAAACAAAAAGAGGCTGCCAAGCGAGTCGATAGTTGGCAGTCTGAGGCCTGAGTGAAAAACAGCAAACGCGAAAATGGAAAATGGCAAGATGGATTGATAAGAATTGAAAGCAAATTAATTTAAAAATTGAGGTGTAATTAAATAAACATCATGGCACGGGACCGGTAAGGAAGAAGAGAGAGTTGAAGGAAAATTGATCAAACGCTGAGAAGAAAAGTTAAAGAACAAGAGGGTAAAATAGACAATAGAAAGGAATAGAGAAGAGTAGGGTAGAATAGAGTAGGATAGAGTATGGTATAGTATAGTATAGTATAGTATAGTATAGTATAGTATAGTATAGTATAGTATAGTATAGTATAGTATAGTTTCGTGTAATATAATATAATATGGTATAGTATAGTATGACATAGAATTGCATAAAATAGCATTGCATAGTATAGTATAGTACTGTATAATATAATATAGACTGTTACATAATGATATAGTATAGTATTGTTTATTAAATTATTATAATGTATAGTATAGCACGGCATAGTA